TCACATATATGGTTAAATAATTCTTGATAAGTATACCAAGATCATTCAGAGGGTAAGGACAGTCTTTTTAACAAGTGGTGCTGAAAAAATGAGATATCCATATGCAAAAGAATGAAGTTGGACACTTACATTACACCATATACAAATATTGAGTCTGAATGCATCAAATACCTAGAAGTAAGAGCTAAAACAGTATAATCAAAACTTTTTTGAAAGTTCAGAATCTAATTAAAAACTTGTAACAACCAGGAGAATGCTAATGCACACTAAAGCTGATACATTTCGATAAGAATGTGTTACAACATTTTGACTTACCTGCCTGCTGGTTTTCACTCCCTAACCGGAATGGCAGTTTACATTAACAATGTGGCTTTCTGGTGCCAGAGGGGACAATACAGACCTTTTTATCAAAATATTGTGGTTGTGTATTTTGACTTCTCTAGTATCCTCCAATGCATGGGCTCAGGAGCTTGTTTTGCCCTAGTCAGAACTTTATCAGGACTGGGGTGGCCTTCCAGACAAGGTCAAAAGAATTTAAAGGCAAATGTACTAAACAAGGTCAGCTGAGGCAAGAGATAATAGATGGGGCAAGCAGCAGACATACTGAAAAGTCTTGGAAGAAAGAGGTTTAGGAAGACAATATCTGTACATGGGAAAATAAGGGCACTGAAATACTCCTGTATATAACAGGGTATGTAGAAGGCCAGGTATATGCCTAGGGCTAGACACATGCTCAGAAAAGACTGAAAAAGATTCTAAGCTTTCACCTGTTGCTGACTTTTAGGCTCTGTACCGCAGGAAGTGAAGACTAAGGGAGAGTTATAAATGGCCTGGCTAAGCATTGAAGGTGCACACCAACACAGAGCCAATCTGAAAAGACTGAAAATTACTTTTATTTTATGACACTGAAGGATATGTCTGTCAAAGCACTAGCTGACCACTTAAGCTAGTGGAAGGAGAATTCAGTTAGCACACATGTCAAAGAATATAGCCTTGACAAAAATAGTTTTGAGAAGTCACAGATAGCAACAAACCTTAAAGGGAGGGGTCTGATTTCCAGAATATCACATAATATTCCAACTGTCCAGTTTTCAACAGAAAAAAATAAGAGGCATGGAGGAAAACAAGAAAATATCACCCATTCATGGGGAAAAAATTAACAGAAATTGTTCATGAGTAAGCCCAGACATTAATCTTATTAAGCAAATACTTGTCTTAAATATGCTCACAGAACTAAAGAAAACCAGGAAAATGAAATTTCACCAAGTGAAAGTATCAATAAAGAGAGAAATTATAAAAAGAAACCAAATAGAAATTATAGAGATAAAAAGTACAATAAGTGAAATAAAAAAGTTAACTAGAGGGATTCAATAATCAATCTGAGCAGGCAGAAGAATGAATTAACTGGAAGAGAGGTCTATTGAGATCGCCCACCCTAAGGGGTAGAAAGGAAAAACAATGATGAAAAGCTGAACAATCTGAGGGCCCTGTGGGAAACTATACAGCACACCAACACACACATAATGGTATCCCCAGAAGGATAGAAGAGATAGAAAGGGTTGGAAAGAATATTGAAAGATATAATGGCCTTTGAATATTTGATGAAAGATATGCACCTAAACATCTAAAAACCTTAAGAAACTGTAAGTAGGATGAATCAAACATCAAAAGACAGGATCTTAAAAGCAACAAGAGAGAATCTACCCACCACACACAAGGGATCCTCAATAAGATTAACAGCTGACTTCTCATTGGAAAACACCATAGCCAGAAGGCAGTGGGATCACATATTTAAAGGGCTAAAAGAAAAAAACCACCTGTCAAACAAGAATTATGTCTGGCAGAACTATCCTTCAAAAATAAAGGAGAAATTAAGATATTGCCAAATAAACAGGGACCAAAGGAGCTAATAATTAGTACATGTGCTCTACAGAAAAAAACAAAAAAGTGATCTTTAGGCTGAAATTAAAAGACACTATACAGTAATTGTAAGCCATACAAAGAAATAAAGTATAGCAATAGAGATGACTAATTAGATAAATACACAAGCCAGAAATATTACATTTTTGATTTGTAATTCCTCTTTAAAAATTTCAAAACAGTAATTATAGGTATATGTTAATGGGCACACAATGTATAAGGTGTAATTTGTGAAGACAATAATATAAAGAGGGGAATGGGGCAGTATGGGAATATAAGATTTTGCATACAATTGAAGTAAAGTTGGTATTAATAGAAACTAGATAGTTATGAATGTAGGATGTTAATTGTAATTACCAGGATGACAAATAATAACTAATACATATACAGAAAAGGAAAGAGAAAGGGATTAAAATGATATACTTAAATATTGATTTAATACATTTTCCAACCGTAATGAAAAAATTAAGGAACAGAAAAGATAAGATACATGCCCTGGCTGGTGTGGTTCAGCTGGTTGGGTACTGTCCCACAAAGCAAAAGGTCGCTGGTTCGATTCCTGGTCAGCACACATGCCTGGGTTGCATTCCATCCCAGATCGGGGCGTGTGCAAGAAGTCAGGACGCATATGAGGGGCTACTGATTGATAGTTCTCCCTCACATCCATGTCTCTCTCCCTTTCTCTTTCCCTTCGCCTCTCTCTAAAAATAAATAAATAAACTCTTTTAAAAAAATATATAGAGACACGAGTGGGAAACTTATTTGAACAAATAATAAAGGAGAACTTCCCCAATCTGGCAAAGGCAATACACTTCTAGGAAATCCAGGAAGCTCAGAGAGTCCCAAAGAAGTTGGACCCAAGAAGGAACACACCAAGGCACATCATCATTATATTAGCCAAGATTAAAATGAAGGAGAGAATTCTAGAAGCAGAAAGAGATAAGGGGACAGTCACCTACAAAAGAGTTCCCATCAGACTGTCAGCTGATTTCTCTAAAGAGACCTTACAGGCAAGAAGTGGCTGGAAAGAAGTATTCCAAGTCATGAAATCCAAAGACCTACATCCAAGACTGATCTACCCAGCAAAGCTTTCATTTAGAATGGAAGGACAGATAAAGTGCTTTTCAGATAAGGTCAAGTTCGAGGTCTTCATACTCACCAAGCCCTTATTATATGAAACATTAAAGGGACTTACCTAAGAAAAAGAAGATAAAAAAGATGAACAGTGAAAGGACAGCAAACTCACAGTTATTAACAACCACACCTAAAACAAAAGCAAACTAAGAGGACAGCTAGATCAGGAGTGGAAACATAGAAATGAAGATCACATGGAGGGTTAGCAAAAGGGGAGTGGGAGGAGAAGGGCGGAGAAGGTACAGAAAATAAGTAGCATAGATGGTAGGTAGAAAATAGATAGGGGGAGGGCAAGAATAGTAGGGGAGATAGAGAATCTAAAGAACTTGAGACACGTGGTCATAAACTAAAGGGGGGAATGGTGGGGGAGTGGATGTGCAGGGTGGAGGGGAATGAAGGGGGGAATAGAACAACTGTAATGGCATAATCAATAAAATATATTTAAAAAAATAAAAAGATATAAAATACATAGAAAATAAGAAACGAAGTGGCAGAAGTCATTTCTTATCAGGAATTATTTTAAATATAAATAGACTAAATTGTCCAATTAAAAGGCAAACTTTGCAAAATGGGCTAACAAAAACATGATCTAAAACATGACCTAACTCCATGCTATCTTCAAGAAACTTGCTTTAGAGTCAAAGTGAAAAAGGTCAATGGACAGAAAAAGATATTCCATGTAACAGTAACCAAAAGAGAGCTGGAGTGGCTATGTTAATGAAGATCAAGCAGACTTTAGGTCAAATTGTTACAAGAGACAAATAAAGATATTACATATTTATAAAAGGGTCAATGCATCAAGAATATATTATTATAAACACATATGCACCTAACAATAAATCCCAAAATATATATGAAGCAAAAATTGATGGAATCAAAAGGAGAAATAGTTGATGGAACTGAGGGGAAAATATATACAGTTTTACAGTAATAGCTGGATCCTTCAATATTTCACTTTCCATAATGAACAGAAAAAAAGAGGTGGAAGATCAGTAAGAAAACAGAGGACTTGAACAACATTATATATCAATTTGAACTAACAGACATAATAAAACAGCATACCTAACCACAAAAAATATATATTCTTCTCAACTAATACACATCATTTAAAAATAGGTTTTATTTATATTCTCCAGGATATAACTTGTATTAGGTCTTAAAACAAGACTTAATAAATTTAAAAAGGTTAAAATCATGCAAAGTATGTTCTCTGACAACAGTAGAATAAGATTAGAAACCAATTACAATTACAAAAGGAAAGTAGGAGAACTCACAAATATGTGGAAATTAAGTAACACACTCTTAAATAACCAATTGATCAAAGAAACCATAGTAGGAATCTTAAAAAAAAAATTTTCAAGAAGGTCTAATGAGGGCCATTTGGCAATTAAAAGCATCCATATTGGAAAGGACTAAGTAAAACAATATCTATTCAGAAATGACAAAATTTTATATATGCAAAATCCTAAGGAAGACACAAAACAAACTATTAGAGATAATAAACATATTCAGCTCTGTCTTATACTCCATTCAGTTGTGGTCAGTGAACACAAGATCCTGCATTTTTTATTTATACTCTTTTGGAAAAGTATAGGAAACAATACCAACCCTTTCTATTTCTCTCTTTTTCCTTCTCTATGTTGGAGGAAAAGATGGGAAAGAAGAGTAAGATACATGGAAAGACGAAGGATTGAAGCAACATCCTGACTGGTTTTATTACTACAAATGAACTATTATTTCTTGTTTATTTCCCTATATGAGTAACAGTAAAATCCTGAAAACTAAAAGGAGGGTGACTTTGTTTTCGGGGGCAGGAATGGGTGCTGTGGGGAGAGTGTCTACTCCACATCAACTTGTGGAGATGATGGCAGCTACACAAGGAGAGTCAAAGAAACTGAGGCCCTGAGGCCTACTGTAAAAAAGGAGGGAACAGCTCAGGAACTTACTGAATATTGCAGGGCATAGTACTAGGATCGAGCATCCCATACATATTTAAGCCTTTGTAGAGAGGGTTCTTGAAGTCTGGTTTCCTCTGAGCCAAGAAAGGCCACACAGAATGGGTTTTCTCATAGACTCTGTAAAAAAAAAAAAGCCCCCAAATTAAAAGCAGCAAGTCAGTAAACTCAACAGTCCTGTTGAAAAAGATAATCAGCCAAATGTTACTAATAAGTAACCCAACTCAAGGGAGAGGGATAGAACATGACAGAAGGAAAATGGTAGTAAGGGGCTAATGAGCATTGATTGAATAATGAACTTTCTGGACTTCAATTTACCCATTTTTAAATGAGCAAGAAGTTAGCGTTTCCATATCAGAGAGCCTCCGCTGCAGGGTAGCTATGTGATCTTAGGAATGACCCTGGCTTTCTCTGGGCCTGTCTTCTCATTCACATAACGTGACCTCTCTGGTCTCTTCTCTTCTAAATCCAGGACTTTATGAACTGGTCACCTTTCCAGTTTTAAAAAATCTGGATCTAAAATATGATTTAAAACATGATCTAACTCCATGCTATCTTCAAGAAACCCACTTTAGATTCAAAGTGAAAAAGGTCAATGGACAGAAAAACATATTCCATGTAACAGTAACCAAAAGAGAGCTGGTATGGCTATGTTAATGAAGATCAAGCAGACTTTAAGTCAAATTGTTACAAGAGACAAATAAAGATATTACATATTTATAAAAGGGTCAATGCATCAAGAATATATTATTATAAACACATATGCACCTAACAATAAATCCCAAGAATTTTTTAAAATTCTGGTAAGTTAACAGATAACTTAGAGGGTGAATTTCTGGTTCTTCTATATTTTATTTCATTTCAAGACAGCTTCTCTTCCTCTTAGAAGGTTTATAAAATGGTGAAAGGCAGTTGGTAATTTATATTAGCAAATACTTGTAAGTTATCCTAGGTGAACACCTAAAGACTGTGATATTTATATCGTAAGACTAATTCTTATATCTTAGTTGAGACCATGGGACCTTGCTTTTCAAGCAAGGAAACCCCTTACTTAACACCTGAGAAAGCATGGGATCCACTGGTCACCCACGAGAGCTGCCACATGACTATGCAGGCAAAGGTCATCTGCACATATCATCTCAAGGAAGAGAGCAAAGAGGAGTGGTAGGGGTGGTAGGACCTAAAATTGTAGTCTTGTAACTTTTACAGACCATTCCAGGAAGGCCAAAGACCCTCTATATCTTTCTTTCTCATTTGTTGCTGGGTAAAAACAGAAAAAAAATCTTGCAGAGGTAAGGTAGCTAATATTTTTTATTTACTATGTGTCAAATACTGTTTCAGACTGTATGCAAAACCCCTCATTAATTTTTTTGTGATATTTTATCTCCAAATTAGTAATGAGAAAATGAGACCAAAAATTAATTTGTTAAAGTTAACATAGCTAGAGGGTAACGGAGCCAAAATTTGAATCCAGGTCTCTCTGATTCTAGAGAATCAGAACTAATGTTACTTTTCCTTTTATGAGTGAATGATACTCCTGTCTGTTTTAAGTAATCACTATTTTAATATGTATTAAAATGTTCAACTTCTGTACTTTTACATGGAGATTCACACTTGTGTGGGGAATGGGTCTAGGATATATTAGCTTCATTTTAAGAGGGTAGAAAAAAGAATATGGAATAGATCTTGAGTTTTAATTCCTAGACAGAACTGATGTGTCTAAAAGCATCTGGGGAGAGGGTTTAAGTAAGGTCTGGTTGCAGAAGAGTATCTTGGCAAAATGGCTTCTGTGTAGGACAAAATCCTAAAATAACTGGATTTTTATGAGAAATATCCTGATAGTTAAATGTTGACAACTAATTCACAGTTAAAAAATACTCCACACACTAAACAAAACATGCCTATTGAGCTATAATTGGCTAATGAGCTGCCATTATATGATTTCTGACACAAGTGATTTCTCTGAAAGGCAGGTATTATCTCTAACGGAGGAGCAATCTGAGGTTCTGAGGAATCCCCATGCAAACACTGAGTGCTTTATGCTTCAAAAGTTTCTTTTTATCATACTATCTCTCTTTTCCTGAACTTCTGTCTCAAATTTAGGGTGTTGGCATATTCCTTTTGTACTCATCCATCTCCCTATTCAGTGTTTTCTCCCAAACTGAATTTACCTCATGTCTTCCAGATCCTTCTGGCAGTTTCCAAGGAAGTTCCCAAACTGGCAGGAAAAAACATGATCATGGATCTCCAGCAGGAAGATTTCATTAAACTCAAAGGCACAAGGAAATTGTTCCATCAATTGCCAGATACAGTCTAGGAATTGGGTGAAGACAGGGGATACTTCTCTGGAGTCCCCATGCAGATGGCCACACCTGAGAGATGCAAATAAATGTAAAAAAGACAGTGGTTAACATCAGGTATTACATTATTGGAAGAGGCTATAATGAGGGCACCTTTTGTCTCTGTTGGCATTGGGAAAGAAACATCTCAGGCCAAATGTCATGTGAAATCTCGAAGCCTGTTAAACCCAACAGACCTCATAACTACTGGCATTCCTTCACTGTCATCAACTGTAAGCCCTTTGGTCATCTATTCGATTTCCTCTTACACCATTTTTAAAACTGAACTTTTCTGCAATGATAGAAATGTCCCATATCTGTGTTGTCCAATATGGTAGTCACTAACGCATTAAGCACTTGAAATGTGGCTAGTATGATTGAGGAACAGAATTTTTAAAAAGATTTATTTATCTTTAGAGAGAGGGGAAGGGAGGGAGAAAGAGAAGGAGAGAAACATCAGTGTGTGGCTGCCCCTTGTGCACCCTCTACTTGGGGATCTGGCCTGCAACCCAAGCATGTGCCCTGACTGGGAATCGAACCAGTGGCTCTTTGGTTCACAGGCCCATGCTCAATCCACTGAGCTATGCCAGCCATGGCAGGAACTGAATTTTTATTGTAGTATTTAATTTTAATTAATTTAATTTTAACAGCCACATTTAACTCTATGTGAACAAGGACCATGACTATGTTGTTTATAGTACAGTTCTTGGCACGAAATAGATAACAAACACTTATTATATGAATAAACAAACCCCACCCTAGAACTGTTTAATGTTTCCTCTCCTGTGATGCCCTCTTTACCAACTCTACTATCCACTGAAAACAAACATGGCATCCTCATATTTTACACTGTATATTCCACCTTCTTATTTAACTTAAATATGTCTCACCAAGGACACCATCTGTTCCTGGGGCCCAAATCAAATGGAGAATGCTCATCATTCCCCTCTCAGAAAGCATAATCCTGAAACAGGGCAGAGGTGGGATCAACTTTCTCCTTGCTTCCACCACGGCTTTCTATTATTGTTTTCACTCTCTAAAAAACACTTCCATTATGAGTCATGCTATTGAGTTTACACTACCTTCCCCTTCCTCACTATTGTCTTATACCAATCTCTGGGTCACTCCCCCATGTTTTCTGAAGAATCTGACTCCTGTCTTAAGTCTTATCTTCGGGGTCCACACAGATGACCTACACTGACTTAGCAGGTTCCTTAACTAGCTCAAATCCAATTACCTTTGCCAAAGTCTTCTTCTATCCCACTATCAACCCTCCGTATCCATGGCCATAGGCTGGTTCTCAAAGTTATCTAAAGGTTCATACTCCATTTTGCAATTTTAATCTCAATATCCTACTCTGACCACATATTTCAAAGGCTTCTCATATTACTTCCTCCAGTCCTTATCTCTGGACTTCTCAACCTGCCAGATTCTTGCTGGCTTCCCTGTCTTCCTTATCCGGCCTATGCTCTATGGTCTGCTCCATCAATTATTCTCTCCCCCTTTTCTTCAATTTTCTGGTCTTTCTTGACATTATTCTCATTTAAAATGAAACTATAGATGAACCTAAGAAGCTATGTTCTCTGCTCCCAAACCCTGACTGATGAATCCTGCTTGAGAATATTATAAAATCATGCAAACTGATGCCATTTAAAATAAAGTCTCCATACTCAGCTACAATGTAATTGCTCCCCAATAATCTTTATGTACATTCTTAACAGTTTTCCCATCAACTTTACAGCTTTTGAAAATTTTAAGCTATCTTATTAAACCCTAACCTATTTCACACTAGTGTCTACAGTGTCACTGAAAAAAATCAAGGCCATCAAAAAAAAAATCTAACTTCTGTCTCTGACACTCACACTGTTACTTCTTTCACTGTCTGTCCTTCCATCCAGTCTCCATAGAAGAGGTGTTCTTAGTTATAGCTTTAACTAATCTTTTCTTTTCTTTATCCTCACCAGAGGACATGCTTATTGATTTTAGAGAGATAAGGGAAGGGAAGGAGAAAGAAAGAGAGAGAAACATCAATGTGAGAGAAAAACATCAGCTGAATGCCTTTCATACATGCCCTGACCAGGGGCCGAACCTGCAACCTAGGCATGTGCCCTGACCAAGAATCAAACCCACAATCCTTTGGTTGTGAGATGATGCTCAACCAACAGAGACACACTGGCCAGGGCTCACTAATCTTTTCATTTGAAGGGAAGTGTTCACTCCCTCTTGTCTCTTCAGGAATCTTATTCTACAAAACACCCACTGTCTCTTTCAAATCCACAACCTTATATTCCTGAATGTTCTAGAATGCCACCAATTTTAGGAAGCCTTCTTTGCCCCAGAGTGGGTTAGGTTCTTTTGTTTATGTTTTGTCGTAGTGTTTATCAAAGTATAATGTCATCACCGATTTTCTTTTTTGTAAAAGAAGAGACAGATACCATATTTGATTCAACATAGTCTCCTCAAAACCTGGCATATTTCCCGGCCCAATGTTTGCTGATGAAGGAAGAGCAAATGGATAGATTTAAATGACTAGGAATTGTAATCAAATGCAATTATTTTTTGAAATTATTTTTGAAATTACTTTATTATTGTTCAAGTACAGTTGTCTACATTTATCTCCCATCACTCTCCCTGCACCCCAGCCACCCACCCTTGGTTTTGTCCATGTGCCCTTTATAGTTGTTACTGCAAACCCTTCCCCTGGTAATCAAATGAAATTAAATGGATACATACCAATGGAAAAGAACGCAACCTGCATTTGAACTTCCTTGGGGGTAAAACATTTTATATGTCTTTGAAACCAGCTCGGTGTCTAATACAGTATGTAGCACGTTGTTAGGTATTTGGTAAATATTTGTTGATTATTCTGATAACAAATCTTTAGTGAGGCTATCTTCCTTATAGCAGACACTAGACACATGTAAGGCCTTCCACCACTTCTTACTAGAGAATGGAAATCTGCACCTTTCTTTGTTCTATAAATGTTAAAAGGTGCATTGTCTTACACATTATTCCCTCTGCCTGGATGCCCTCTTCAGCTCACTGTTCTGTCTAGCAAACTCCTATTCATGCCCCCAAATTCATCTTCAAATGCTGCCTATTCCTAGATGCCTATCCTGACTTCTTCAGGCAGAGTTAAGCACTTTTTCCCTCTGTGGTCTGTGATGCCTTGTTCTTTCCTAATATATTTAAGAATTTGATAAAATTATTTGTACACTTTTAAGGAAGAGATAATATTCTAGTCACCTTTGTAGCCCTAGTCCCCTAGCACAGTGCCTGAAATACTTCTTGATGAAAAGAGATTTCTGCCATGTTCAACTTACTGCTCCTTCATACAAGAACATATTGGGTTTTGCTAAACCTTACCCTAATGACCTCTTCTTAGCCTCCTCCTTTAAAATGAGGATCTTTTTACCTTTGGGAGAACTTGTGGCCCATGGATATCCATTCCTTCTCAATCAGGATCTTCATTGTTATACAAAAGAAAAGTTTGCATTAGGAAAAATCATAAAATGAATTAACCATATATATAAAAATATCCAAATACTTTGCTGAAATGGACTTTGTACAAGTTTGGGTTGAACTGATAATTAAAAAAAAAGTTAATTTCCCAAATGATTACTAAGTAACTAACTTGTATTTGCTTTAAGGGCCTATACAGTTTTCCTTCAAATTTCAAATGCTCCCAGGAGAAATTATTCTGGATATGTATCCAGTGTCATACTTCTTTTGGCCTTTATATGATGTGTGGCAAGGACTGAGACATAACTAAATGCAATCCTGATCAACATAATCTTAAATTCAACCTATGAAAAAACAGGACTCCAAAGTCAATACTTGGGTTTGTACCAAGAACAAATCTTGGTACAACCCTATTTTCACCTGTTTGTTTTTTTTAAAGCATTTCTAAAAAAATGAGAATAAACTCCTTTGTGAGTTCTGTTTCTTAGGTCAACTAAGAAGCTTTGGATTCACTGCCAGAGAACAATCATAAGTGTGATACCCAAATAGCTGACATGTTGAAGATGAAACCATCTGATAGCCTATTGAATAGTCATCCACTTCAGCTTTGCACACTTTTGAGTCTCTCCTACTCCTTACAGCAGTCTCTTACATTCAACTTACCTTATGATAGGTAAGAAACTATGCTCAGTGTGCAATGCAAACTGTATAGACTGTAAATGCCTAATTTAGTAGAAAGAAGCTAAATTGAAAAACAGAACTATTTTTATAGATTTGGAATTCCTTACAAGTTGGTTGAAAGTTCTTTTTGATTTATCCAGTCTTTTGCTCATCCAAAGTAAAATACCAGTGTTGGCTCTCTTACCATGAGACCGTTGAATGTCCTATAAAATGGATCTAGGAGGATGCTGGCCAAAGAGCAGACTTGTGCTGTGCGGTCCCACCCATCAGAACAGTGGACTAAGACACTGGCTTTTTCTACCTTTATGGCCTGTGGAGATAAGAGGCAAAAAGTAGCATCAACAACTTTTACATAGTATGCTTGGTGAATAAATAGGGTTTCCAAACACCATCTCTACAGCACAGAAAACCTGGCCTTACTGGACTACATTAATTTCTTATCATAATTTTGGCATACTTTATGGAGAATGAAAAAATGGAGTGCAAAAAAAAAAGGGGGGGGGAAATTACCTAACAGCAAAGGAAAATGAAAACCAATACATGATTCAGCATTAAAAAAATAAGGGAGTTCCAAATTCACAAAACTTCTGAAGACAAGAATCAACCAACTATCAGAGAAAGGAGTGGGCAAGAGGAAGAATTCATGCCCCCAAAATACAGAATGGTTCTGCATTCCAGTCTTAGATCTGACAATAATTTCCTCTGGACTCTTCAGACATTTAGTCTTACTAACAAATTCTTCCAACTTAAGATGGAGAGGTTTACCTGTCTTAGGTCTGTTTCTGTACAATCAGAATGATGTAAAGATCTGGGTAGTGACCCAACTTGGGCAATTTTGGCAAAAATGGATATTGAGCATTCACTTTTTCATTCTAATAGTTAATTATGTATCTCTCTGTGCCAGTTACATGCTAGATATTAGAGATACAATGATGAGACTCAGTTCTACCTGCAAGGAGCTCACAAGCTAGGGAGACCGAAGGTAAATATCTCATAAATAAATACAATACAGTGAATAAAAACTACTGCTTTCTAGTCATATGCAGTAATTATATCCTTTTGTAGGAGCCAGGGAAGCTTGAGCCTTGAAAAAAGAGTAGGATTTCCTCAAGGGAGAAAACAGAAGGAAATTAATGTATTCACTCATTCATTCATCCACCCACCTCGCTAATAATTACTGAGTATTCAACAAACATTACAGTGTGTAGTGGGGATACAAAAGAGACAAACACTTACATGAAGAAGTACAAACCAATGATAACTAAAATAATAAAAGTCCATACAGGTAAAACAAAGGCACAAAATAACCAAAGAACAGGAGGCAGTTTAAATGGGCTTCTCAGATGAGTAGGCATTTGTCAGATTGATGAGAAAAGGACATTCCAGGCAGGGGGCACAACATGACAGCATGTAGAAAGGCAAGGAGGTATGGCATAAGTGAGGTACTCTTAAGTACCTTGATTGAAGCTAGGCTTGGAATGAGAGAATGAGAGAAAGGCCTGCCCACAAGGACAAGGACTAGCCTGACAAATGTGCGTTTCATCTGATGACAAGAGAGAGCCACTGAGGTGTTAAAAGCAGAGGCGTGCCATAAGAGGTGCTCACTGTGGTGGCAGTAAGGAGAATGGATTGGGTGGACATGAGTTTGGATTTAGGAAGACCAGTTGCAGAGCCACTAAAATAGTGAAAGGCAAAGAAGGCCTGAACTAAGGTAGTAGTATTGGGGCTGAAAAGGAGAAGACGGATGGTAAGAATGAAAATAGATATGGGACGAAGGAGAAGAGTCAAGGATGATTCTGAAATGTATAAACAGTGAACACAGAAGAAGAGACAAGTTTTGCTAAGTGTGGAGACTAAGTAAGAAGATATCAGTTTGGGGACTTCCGGCCAAGATGGAGGCATAGGTAGATACCCTGTGCTTCCTTGCACAACTAAAAGAAGGATAACAACAAATTTAAAAACAAAAAACAACCAGAACTGCCAGAAAATCAAACTGTATGGAGTCCAACAACCAAGGCATTAAAGAAGAAACCTTCATCCAGACCAGTAGGAGGGTTGGAGGAGGGCAACAGGGTGGTGGCTGGAGGATGGGGCAAGGTGGCAGCTGGCAGAGTGGGCGGTCCCACATTCGCATGAGAATAAACCGGGAGGGACAACCTGGGCACAAGACAGACCACACAACCCAAGTTTCCAGAGCAGGGAAATAAAGCCTCAAAAACCTCTGACTGAAAAAACCTGTGGGTGTTGAGGCAGCAGCAGGAGAAACTCCCAGCCTCACAGGAGAGTTCATTAGAGAGACCCACAAGATTCTAGAATGTACACAAACCCACCCATCTGGGGATCAGCAGCAGAAGGGCCCAATTTGCTTGTGGGTAGTGGAGGAAGTGACTAAAAGCCTGCAGAAAGTGGAGCAGGCAGCACTGTTCCCTCCCAAACCCCTCACCCACATACAGCACCACAACACAGCAAGGAGGGTTGCCCCGCCCTGGAAAATACCTAAGGCTCCACCCCTTACTACATAGCAGGCACACTGAGACCAAAAAAAAATAGCCTAAATGAAAGAACAGATCAAAGCTCCAGAAAAAATACAACTAAGCGACAAAGAGATAGCCAACCTATCAGATGCACAGTTCGAAACACTGGTAATCAGGATGCTCACAGAAATGGTTGAGTAATGGTCACAAAACAGAGGAAAAAGTGAAGGCTGTGAAAAGTGAAATAAAGGAAAATGCACAAGGAACCAACACTGACGGGAAGGAAACTGGGACTCAAATCAATGGTTTGGACCAGAAGGAAGAAATAAACATTCAACAAGAACAGAATGAAGAAACAAGAATTCAAAAAGATGAGGAGAGGCGTAGGAATCTCCAGGACAACTTTAAACATTCCAACACCCAAATCCTAGAGGTGCCAGAAGGAGAAGAGGAAGAGCAAGAAATGGAAAACTTATCTGAAAACATAATGAAGGAGAACTTCCCCACTCTGGCAAAGGAAAGAAACTTCCAGGAAGTCCAGCAAGCTCAGAGAATCCCAAAGAAATTGGACTCAAGGAAGCACACACCAAGGCACATCATAGTTCCATTATGCAAGATGAAAGATAAGGAATCTTAAAAGCAGCAAGAGAAAAGGAGACAGTCACCTACAAAGGAGTTCCCATCAGACTGTCAGCTGATTTCTCAAAAGAAACCTTACTGGCAAGAAGGGGCTGGAAAGAAGTATTCAAGTCATGAAATCCAAAGACCTACATCCAAGATTACTTATCCAGCAAAGCTATCATTTAGAATGAAAGGGCAGATAAAGTGCTTCTCAGATAAGGTCATGTTAAAGGAGTTCATCATCACCAAGTCCTTATTGTATGAAATGTTAAAGGGACTTATCTAAGAAAAAGATAAAAAATATGAACAGTAAAATGACAACAAACTCACAACTATCAACGACCAAACCTAAAAGCAAAAACAAACTAAGCAAACAAGTAGAACAGGAACAGGATCACAGAAATGAAGACCACATGGAGGGTTATCAGTGGAGAGGTGGGGGATGGGAGAAAAAAATACAGGGAATAAGAAGCATAAATGGTAGGTACAAAATAGACAGGGGGAGGCTAAGAATGGTATAGGAAATATAAAAGCCAAAGAACTTATATGTATGACCCATGGACATGAACTAAGGGGGCCGGGAATGTGGGTGGGAGGAGGTGTACAGGGTGAAGGGGAATAAAGGGGGAGAGATGGGACAACTGTACTAGCATAATTAATAAAACATATTTAAAAAAAACAAAAAGAAGATTTCAGTTTGGGCTATGGTAAGTCTGAAGTAGTTAAGGGACATCCAATAGTGAGCCCAGTGGATAATTGGATATGTGTGTCTCAAGTCCAAGAGGGGGCTGTAAACTCTAAAGTCCAGAGTGCAGATCTGTCCACTCGCTATGTAAATAGAGACGGTAGTGGAAACTGTGGGCATGGCTGCTGCTGCCCAGGCAGAGATCAAAGTGAAAAAAAAAAAGAAAGACCTGGAAAAGCAGTGACTTTCAAAGGGAAGGTAGAGGAAGGGGGATATTTTGAGAGTCGGCCTGTGAAAAAGCAGCCTGAAGGTTAGAAAGAAAACCATGAAAGAGTAGTTGGATTAAAACCAGAACTACAAAAATAGTTCAAAGAGAAAGGGATTAACAGTGCCAAATGTAGCAAACAGGTGAAAATACAACAAAGATCAGCCCTGGCTGGTGTGGCTCAGTGGATGGAGTGCTGGCCTGCAAACCAGAGTCGCTGGTTCAATTCCCAGTCAGGGTGCATGCCTGAGTTGCAGGCCAGGTCCCCAGTAGGGGGGCATGCATGCATCAGGCAACCGCACATCGATGTTTCCCTCCCCTTCTTTCTCCCTCCCTCCCCCTCTCTAAAAATATGTAAAATCTTAAAAAATTAAAAAATAAAAAGTAAATGTGACAAATAATAAAAAAGCAACAAGTTGTGTAGTTATTAATCAAGGGAATGAGGAATGTCTTAACTAGGAAAATAGCAGTCAAGGCTGGGAACAATGAATAGATTCAAGAAACACTTGTGAGGTAGCAGTGATAGAAGTAGGCAATTGCCAGATGGAGGGGAAGAGAGAGAATTCAAGGCTGACTGAGTTTTCAAGCTTGTGATAAGGGACATGTGGTGCTAGAGATGGGGAGCACAATATAACTATGTAATCCCAAGCCTATCTTTTTCACCCATTCAAGGTCATCAAGGAACATGTATAAAGGACCCATGGACAAAGCCAAAGGGAGGAAGGATTGAGGTTGGGAAGTGGGGTTGGGTGGGGCGGGGCAAAGAGGTGGGGAGAAAATAGAGACAACTATACTTGAACAACAATAAAAAAGAATAAAAAACATTCAACCAATATTTATAAGGTTGTACTGTCTACCAAATTAATCCCTCTTTTCTATCCTCACTCTCTTTGGCCTAATGAAGTCAGCTTCAGAAAGGGAATACAGATATATGGGTATAGGGCATGTGAAAAAGGAACAGTATGAAGAACAGTTAGAATACTGGGCTTCAAATAATGAAGTGGGTCACATAGTAAACATTAGTAGCATATTATAATAAAAGTGTAAACAACAGGATTAGGAAGTAAAAAGCATTAGGGCTAGATATTTAAGGCAATTAATGACATATACTCTTCAAACATTTTAAGCCAGAGGCTATATATCTCATTAGTTTCAACTGAGACAATGACAGCAGAGTGGTGAAAAGTCATTCTCTCCTTTTACTTCTACAAATAACACGTGGGCAGGGGGAGGTACTGCCAAGAGGGAGAGTTCTCATATAGGAATACATACAGACAAAACTTCAAAATGAGAAAATGTACGCTCCTATTTTCTTCTTTTTTTACATCACTTAACCAGTGATACAGAAGCTAGGGGTCTGCAGGTCAGAAAATAAATGTCAGCATGAATGAGTGATGAAGCCTGCCTGGAGTCCATTCAGAGGCAGACATACAGAAAGAAGTCATAAAAGGTCTGCTCAAAGGTCTGAATGCCATAGATATACAAGCTCTACATGTATTTCACACCCACTCTTACTTATTATACTTGATACCTTAAAATCAACACCAAATACAACAAAGAATATCTGAGCTAGAAGGACCAATAGACATCATCTAGGAGTTTTTAATCTGAGGTCAGGGGTCTGTGAAGCCTCTGAAATTAAGGTCCACTTTCTGTATGTGTAGCCATATGTATATTTTTCCAGAAGGAGAGGGTCAATACTATTTCCAAATAGTTCTTTGGACCCCACAAACTTTATATCATTAGATTCTAGCCCGACTACTTTGTTCCACAGATGAAGAAACTGATGCCCAGAAAAGGGATAAAATTTGCCAAGGGCACACAGAGAATTAGTAGCTGAGGTGAATGTAGAAACTAAGATTTTTTTCAATATTTTTCCCATCATGATACACTGCTACCTCAAGAAATCCCGTAATTAAAGTCAGTGCAAGTTCTTAAAAGTCCTAATTATTACCTTTGCAACGAAAGTTCCAGCATCCATAATAGCTTTAATGTGTGTCAACCACCCTGAGCTGTCCAGGCCACTAAGAAATTCAGTCACTGTTGGAGTTTTCGATTCACAAACTAAGGTAGAAAGGGAAGCAGATATTGAAATTCACAATAACCTCAATTTATTCACCAGGAAAGAGGAAAAAGTGGATAATTTTGTAAACAAGAAAGCTGAGGCACAGAAAGGTTAAATGATTAGATAGAAACCACACAGTGAGTCAGGGACAGGATTAGGGTTTAGAGCCTACCATATCTTCCACCATTGGTCTCTCCTTTCTTGAGTTGTAGAACCCACCCCAAGCCCACAGAAATCTCTTAAGAGCCAGAAGAATGAGTCAGTAACCGCAGGAAAACACTCACATGTCTTATGATTAGAAAACACATTTGCCCTGGCTGGTGTGGCTCAGTGGACTGAGTACCAGCCTGTGAACTGAAAGGTTGCTGATTTGATTCCCAGTCAGGGCACATGCCTAGGTTGTGGGTCAGGTTCCCAGTTGAGGGTGTGTGAGAGGCAACTGATTAATGTTTCTCTCACACATCGATGTTTCTCTCCCTCTCCTTCTCCCTCCTTTCCCCTCTCTCTTTAAAAATACATAAAAATTTTAAAAAATTCTTTAAAATACATTTAATCCTAATTCTACCCAATCATCCTAACTCTTCAGGCCCTTAATATCTAGCTGTATTCCTACTCCCTCACCTACTCCCTGCATCCCTGTGCAGTCTCAATGGGTTAGGGAAAAAAAGTTAATTTTCATGTACTTTGCACTGGTTATCCAGCAGAGGGCAATCTTTTACCTCAAAAAATCTGTAAAAAGTCCTGTTCTCTAAACCTGTAGAATATTCTGGGACAACAAAAGAAAGGAAGAAGAGATCCAAGGAAGAGGAACACTAATACTTTAAAAAGGATGCAGACTGTGGAAACAGGATTTAATGAGGACCATGTAAGGGAGAGGTCTTGGCCTGTAACCTAAGAACAAAATTGAATAAAAGAGGGGAAGAACAGGGAGTTCACTAAAGGCAGGTTTTCGCCATCTCTTCCTGAGTTGTCATACCGCGTCATGGAATCCTGGGTAGTGGCTCTGAGAGAAATGTTTCAGAATCAAGGGTCCTGCCAAGCCCCAATCTCACCTTGCCCCCACTCTGACCCCAATTATTTTGCATCGATGACAGATGACCTATATTGTCTGACATCAGCTTCATTCCTCTGAAGTCTAAATTCACCCCCTTCATCAGCACAGTGATAAAATCCAACTGACTCCTTGCAGTAGATTAAATGAGGTGATTTCTTACCTTGAGGATGATGCAATGAATTCCAAATTCATTTATACTTATGTTGACCTGTCCACCCCTAAATGCCTGACTGTAATTCTATAGAGAGAAATAATTTCCACAGCAACTAAACCCAAAGGGACTTAACTAGGTTGTGAAACTGAACATCTTAGTTCCTCTGCTGGACCAAGACTGCTATAATTCAGTACTATGCAAGCTGGGCTCACATTATCGTTTAAAAACCTTATCACCTATTGGTCCTGCTCACCTAGTTGTTTTTATGATCTACCCCAAATTAAGCATGTTGTGTGTGTGTGTGTGTGTGTGTGTGTGTGTATATATATATATATACATATATATATATACATATGTATGTATATGTATGCAACACTAGGGGCTCTGGCCTATCCAAGGTGAAATCCTTCTAACCTTCCACGAGTTTCTGCAGGCTGCTCCGCATCACATGGATGTTCTCAATGCCAATGAACCTGAAGCGAGTGTTGGCATAGTAGTCTTCGTTTTCATACCCCTTCCCAGCTATTCGGTTGGCCAAGGCATTCAACTGCAATATTTGAGGAATAATAGAGCAGATTGGGCAGGTGATAAAATAACAGGATTCACTAATCTCAATGCCTTATTCTAAACAGTTTTAAATCTTATCCACTGAAAAAAAAAAGTTAAATCTGGGCACATTCTGGAATGGAGAGAATTTCAATGGTTTTTATATAAGGTTATCTTAAGGAACAGAGTAGTATGGAGGAAGATTTAGTGTTCTTGTTTTATTACTAAAACCCTGCTTAAGAGACTCAAGGATATGGCAACTATGAGGATAGCTGGTCAAACTGAAATAATTTTGAGCTTTACCACAAAAAAAAATGTTTTCTCAGCTGAAACAGCTTTACACTGGGAAACATGTGAAAGTTCAAAAATCCTTTCAACTGAGAAGTTCTAAAATAAGTCTAAGAACTTTAGGGATAATTAATTCTAAATAGCTATCTAGAACAATGTCTAAAATATGCACAAGACAAATGACTTTCACTCACTGATAAAATGAAATGGAGATACCCAGACCTGTTTTTAACACTATGTTCAGCTTGTGGTAATCAGAATATTTCTAGGTCATAAGGAGAATATTGGGCAGGATAGAGAGTAAATGAGATGTAGTCAGGAGATAATAATATAATAACTAGGAAAAAAGGCCAAAATAACCTCTATGATGATAACCATTTTACTAATCAAATGGGTTTGTTGCCTGGGCCTGTTTTCTCATCTCCCAGTATCATGCATTTTAAAAGACAGGAGGAGCATATATGTGGACAAGGTATCATTTTTGTATTGATAGAAAAGAATGCCATTAAACCCTCAGAAGCAGAAACCTTTCATGTTAACACATTCAGGGAAAATAGTCTCTGTGTCAACATGTTCTGTTTAGAATGCCAGATACTTTTAAAGGGAGAAATGTGATGGTACTTTGGTTACTTATCACACAGACAATGCCACTGAGATTCCATGATATTAATGACAAATGTCAAAGGTACACCTGTGGAGGTACAAGCAACAGCCACCTCGTAGCAAGGAAGTTTGCTATGACTGATGAATGCTTCAGCAAACAAAACAAGAAACAGCAGCCCCTCTCCAGGTCAGGGCAGCACTAAAAGGCCAGCTACTGCAGATAGCTACCTGCATGGCATTACTGTACAAGCTTTGGGAATATGTCTGGCAGATTTGAGTAACAGCTCCGTATTAGCAGCCTGATGTTCAAGTAGGTAAGAAATATATTATTTATTGAGCTCCTAGCATACCAGACCCCGTACTAGGTCCTTTACCTATATTACTTCATTTTATCTTTACTACAACCCCTCAAGATAGGTATTTTTATTATTCCCATAATAAAACAGTCTCAGAGAGCTGAACCAACTTCAGCCAGAATCATACGGATAAGGGCTGACAGGAAGATCTGACCCCAGGTTTGTCTGACTCCTAAAAATGTAATATTTTACAACTACAGTAGAATTTCTACTAAAAGTACAGATGTAGCCATCCAGAAGGGGAACACTGCTCAATATTTCTAAGCCTTCTGAGAGGAAAAGGAGACCTGTTAAAGGGGCTTTTTGGTCTTGTGTTTGGATAGAAAGTACCAATCATTCAGTTTTTCAAAAGCATGGTATGTTTCCCTTTACCATTTTAAGATGATTTCATCTTGACAGATACAGATTTGATTAAACTTTTTCCAATCTGGAATGACAGATGCAGTTATGACTGAAGCAAGACAGCAAACTCAGGAGAAATTCAAAGATAGTGCCTGAGCAGAAAGGGAAAAGATTTTCTCTCTTGAGCCTAGGCAGCCCTAGGTAGTGACTCTGGAGACTGGCCAGTGAGTGATCCCAAAATGGGACAGGAAGCTGTCTAAGGCCATCATCTGATTTCATGCACAGCCAGTTGCTTAATTGTGATGCCACAACCACCTGGCTTAGGCTTATATCTGAATCACCAACTTAGCAATCACTAGTGAACAATGAAACTTCCCAGTCAGCCACACTCCGCACATCAAATTACAAACATATTTCTTTCTGGAGCTGTCTGTATAAAGGCCATCCTTTAAGAAAAGGGAGTCTGTCCTTTACTTGCCTCATGGGACACAATTAATTCTTCAATCCCTTACAGAGCTAGACAAAATGAGGAAGGTCAAAGAATTAATGAAGAAGAGTTTAGGCTGATACTTAGGTTGATCTGAGGACCCTCCTTTCTGTCACACTCACATTCAAAAGGGACAGAGCCTGGAAAAACACATTGTAACAGACCACACAGTATCTGGCTCTTAGAAAAATCAAACAGTTTCACTAGGGCCATGTCCACTGCCAAAATCCATGGCAACCTTATGTCCCTGCTCTTTTCTTTTTTTCTGGGACCAAAATTTAAACTTCACTTCACTGAGTTGGGAAACACTTAATCAGTGAATAGTGCAGGGTGCTAAAATAATTACCACCACATAAACTGAAGAATTTCTGTTAATCATTAGTAGTGACATTTGTGAACCCGATTCCTTCAGGAGACGTCAAAATATCATTCACCCACTGTGGTTTGGTACATTACTCACAAAAAGACATGTTGGTAGTAATGTTGCCAGTGTTAAGTTAAAGTGCTGTATCTGATAGTAAATTTATACCACAGAAGGAAAATACTGAAAATTCTAATTGATTAATAGATTTAGTGAAAAAGAGGAGGGAATATCAAAGAGCCTCCAGGCATTTAATTCAGATGTCATGAATTCAGGAGGTGGCAAGGCCAGGTTGTTCAAAGTACCTTTGAAAGCATCAAGGACATCTCACAGTCTTGCTTGACAGTGAGTGACAGGCTATAAAAATGGGCTCCCAATGGCTTCTGAAAATGATTTTACACAAAGTCTGACACAATAAGCCCACATACACAAATACAACTTTCCCAATAACACTGTGAAGCTCAACATGTAGGGGCAGGGATCACAAAATTAGTGAAGTTAGAATATCCAAGAGGTCACTGATAAATACCCTCGGTCTTGTGTCTATAATATACATAAACTGGCTCCCTGGGTTTGTTTGTCCAATAGCCTCTAGCAAGCGCTCGTCATCTTCACAGCGAGTGTAAAACCCACACAGAGGCTGGCTACAGCGGCAAATGGAAGCCTGTAAGGAAAAAAATCTGTCAGTTGAGGGATCATATGCACAGGTGGTCAAAAAGCCTCTTTGATCCCAGGTTTAGTGAGCAGAGAAAGAAGATGAACCAACTTAGGACAGTGAAGCAAAGAAAGATGTAGCTTTGAAGCCCAGCTGTTCCGTTGACATTGAGCTCAGTCTCCTGCCTTCCCCAGGCATGTGAGCTGTGTTACCACAAACTGCTGCTCAGAATAGTCTTTTTTCCCCTTCTACATGGTGAGGATTCTCGACCTAGTCTTAGCAAATCCAGACAATAGGAACACCACATCTTGAGTGCTTCCTCAGTAAAATCCTATTCTCAATATGTATTGGGTTAGTATTTTTCTGAAACAGCCCTGCTCTTTTATAGTCCCAATCATAACATTCATATAAAGCAGAGGTTTGCAGTGGCAGCAGATTTCAAGATAGGGCAGAGATTTAGTCTTAAGAGAGCAGGGTTCATGCATTAATGTCAAATCAGAGGGGCTACTTTGCTTAAAGCCATGTTGACATAAAAGCAGCTATTTAGCTGGTATGTTTGGTAATGAGTAGTTAATGGACTGTTCTGCACTGTAGTGTGGTTTTTAAGGGTCTACTTGCTTTGATAGTTTGACACAAAAATACCCACTCATTTCATTATACTCTTTTAGCACCCGAATAGTTTACCTACTTGAGAAAATGACTATTTCTCTAACTCCAGGTCTCAGAAGGACCACAAGAGGAAAGAACTATTATTCCTTCCTATGGAAGGGGACTCAAATGAATGAGTTAAGTGTTTTTCCCCACTACCTTAAATCATATTAAAAGTAGTGAGAAAGAATCAAGGACATCTGTGTTCCAGTAAAAGGCCAGAGTCCTCAAATATCCTTTAATTCAACAACTTCCCCTCAAGCTGGAGACCACAGAGAAGGAAAGAAACAAGTGAGCACACTAAAAATGCCACTTAACATTTGCACAACACTTTACAATGTACAAAGTACACACATATTTTTCCCTCTTGTGACCCACTTAAAAACCCTCAGAGTACTAAAGTTCAGGGAAGTAACTTGCTTGAGGTCACACGGCTGTGAAGTGGCAGTGGTGGGACTGAAACCCAGGTCTTTTAGAGCCAAGTTTAGTTCTCATGAGAGAAGTTTGCTTAACTCACATTATTCTCTTTGTAGAGGTAGCAGAGCACAGGTAACCGTTCTTTACTTCTGAACTTCGAACTTCCAACCAATGTTCCCAAGGTTACAGACTTAGGAACCACTATTTCAGGAGGGTAGGTACTGCATATCTAAAAGAAAACTCATTTTTTTAACTCAATATATATTTTTTGCATTTTTCACTTGCTATTAGCAGGTTGGAATAGCAATTACTCGCACACTAGCTGTCTGCTATTTATCATCCAGAATCATCTGTTCCTTAAGAAATAGGAACATAAATATCCTTGATGTAATAGCTTTGCCAAGTATGCCATTATTTTCTAGAAAGAAAGGTATTAAGTCACATAAGAACAAAACGTACCAATAATATAGGTAGAAATGCACATTACGGGTAGAAACACACATATAACCCTATCCTGGCATTTGTACACTTGCCTATCAAAGCAAACAATATATATTGTAAATAAGTATATTAAAACAAATATACTCAGATATAAAGCAGACAGGTATAAAAGAAGAACATGATTTGCTCTTTCTTAAAATGCATACTGGGCTCCTAGTATAAACATCTTGAGGGCCTTTAAAACACTAGTCTGGGGGTGGAAGTGTTGACGTTTTAGGTGTGATATTCACTCTACAAAAAGACTGATAAATATTCTTAAATTCACCAGCTTTTAAGTGGTTACCAAATATATCTTTCTAAAGAGACAGTGATAAAATATTATAGCAGCACAGACTTGACATTGCCAAGTTAGCTCTAATCACTACTCTAAGTAGTGATTTAATATTATAATATTAAAATATTATAATAGCACAGACTTGACATTGCCAAGTTAGCTCTAATCACTACTCTAAGTAAAGAACACCCATAAACATTTGACGATGGGTCAAATAAAAATATAAATAGGCAAAAAGTTTGAGTTAGATCACATTCAATGTTCTATGTAACTAGTTGAAGTCAATATCCTCACAATGCAGAACTCTGACAGAGAAAAAGTTCTATAACCATCCTCTTACCTGGACTCAAACTTCGGAGGAACGAGTCATATAAAGAGAAATAAATGGAACTTCCCTTTCAACTCAGAGAGCAACATGCATCCAAAGTGCCAACACGGATATTTCAGAGCTCATCTGGGGGACTTAGCCCCATATTAGAACCAAAAAGAATTCACCCCACCTCTACTCATTCCTGTGAAGTATGACCTTAACAAGCCACCTCACAAATGGCCCTGCTAAGTGACAGTTCATCAGTCTTCCTATATAGCAGATATTCAAAACGGTTATCAGAAAGTCATTACAATTTCTTTCTTTTAATGATAGTAAAAAACTGTAAGTAAAGATCCAACAATTCAGAGATACCACTTAAACACCAACAACTCCCTGTGCAGAAAAGTTTTCACAGCAAGTCTGACTGCTATGCTTAGAAAGGCCTGCTTGCAAGTCTGGCCCTCAGCTGGTACCCAGGAACTTGACTTTTGGAAGGGTTCCCACCACCCCTTAACTGATAAGAGTGACTAATTGTGCCTAAACTGTTTGTACAATGTGGTTTATGCCAAGCACTTTTTTTTTTCCTTCTAGGCATCTGAAACTTTGGTATATACTAGGCAGAGAGTGCCTATGTGACCGCTGCCCCTCCACCCAAAATCCTGGGCACTGATTATCCAATAAGCTTCCCTATAGACAACATTCTCCACATGTTGCCACAATTTGTTACTAGAGGAAGTAAGCATGTCCTATGTGACTCCACTGGGAGAGAACTCTTAAGTTTGTGCCTGGTTTTCTCTGGATTTTGCCCCCTTTCCTTTTGCCAACTTTGCCTTGTATCTTTTCACTTTAATAAATCACAACCACAACTATGACTATATGTTGAATCCCATGAGTCCTCCTAGTGAATCGTTCAACTTGAGGGTTGGTCCTGTGAACCACCAACACATTCTCAGACCTCTCTCTTAAGATCCAGACTTAAATATATACTTGACATCTTTTGAATCACCTGGAACTCAGTCTAAAACTGAAGACACTGCCGTCTTCTCATGCTCCTTATCTTGGTTAACATATCCATCACCTACTTGGTCATCTAAGCCAGAAACCAGGAAACCCGGGATGCATACTAAAATTCTTCCTCCTTCTCCCAGCCACATTCTTTGGATATTTCAAGTATACCACTTGAATATCTCTTCAAACCATCTCCGCTTCTCCATCCATACTCATTGCCTTAGTTCAGGTTCTCATATCATTCTGCATTCTTAATCAATTCTCCACACTATTATCAAAGTTATCTTTCTAAAATACAAGTATATTCACATTACCTTCCAGATGAAAATACTCTAGTAACTCCTAACTGCCTTCACGATGATAATATTCAAATTCCTTAATTTGGCTATGAAGCCCTTCATGATCTCACTTCACTTCCTGACCTCTTTCCTTCTCTCCCTGTATAAACTAAGATAGATTTCCTTCTCCGTGCTATTCCCCAAATCATCAGACTGTTCCTGGCTTCCCAGTCTGAATTCCATATCCTTCATCTATGCTCTCACAGCACTCTCTGCTTTAGACTATGAGAACTCTTACTTAGTGTCTTGAGTGCAATAGGTAGTTAAGAAATGTTTGTTGGCATGACTACACACTGAATGAAAAGGAGAGATTATGATTTTTTCTTTTTTCAAAACCTTGTTTGCTAACATTTTTCTGTTTTAATTAAATGGATCTAAAGGAAAATGACAATGACAAAATTACCTCATAGTTTCTGTTGGCATCTGTTATGGTCCAGTACCTGTTGGGTATTCCCATACGCCCAAAATCTGATATTGGGTCAATCAGTTTCCATCCATTTTCCCTCATCTCTTTTGTAGATATGGGATTATAAAAAAAAGCATACAGATCTTCAAGTAATGCTGGACAATGGAGATAAACACAAAAACAAGAATGAGTAAAACTTTACACCAAATAATGCTTAAAAAGGCTAGACTTCCTTTCTTTCAAGGGGAATGTTTGTCAAACAGCCCCAGAAAAGGACAATGGCTTGTATACAAGGTTGCCTTGATATAAGGAATAAGAACTGGAACATTGCTTTTGAGTTTTCTTTTAAAAATGATTTGAGTTTTTCTGATACCAACACAAAGCATGAACATTCTGTCTGGCTTTCTGTGAATTGTTGGATAATGGACTTAGATGAAGCTTCCGGGATTATTCACATGTTGGGGAAGTGGTCCTTACAAAAGTTGTTTTTTTTTTAACTGAGCTCCAATATACTAAGAGTACTATTTGTTGTAACACGTTGCAAAACATTAACAATGTTTTCCAATCTGCTTATCAAGCCAATGCCTACTTCTGGGTGATAAATGGCCATTTCTTCTCTTCCAGTCAACCCCACTTCTCCCTTCACAAGATGCAACGTGCAACCAATAACTCATCTGCCTAATTTATGGGGCAACAACTTTTCCAGAGACGGATGGAATCTGCCAGGGCCTTAGGAAGTGTTGGGCCATCTGACAGGTAACCTCTGTCAAAAAAATACCAGCAAATTCTCAAAAATTATTCTGGGTAAAGGGTGAGAGAAAATTGGAGAGAAAATTAAGAGCATAAAAATCCCACAGATTAAATCAGATGAAGCTGATGGACTGGCCTAGAGGTGGGGCTGCAGGATGAGAGGGTGAACTGGAGGAAGCAGAGATAACTTGCATTATTAAGGACTCTGATAAAAAGCCCTAATCTTCTAATTGGAACTGAAGATCAAGGTGGAAATAGTGGGCCAAACAGAAAGTTTATGAGACAACATGAAACAGATTTCATTCCAAAGCAGAATTCCTTCCTGAACTAATGAAAAAATTTCACAAGTTAAAACTTATTAAAAATTCTTTTCCTATTTACTGAATTTACTGGGATGACACTGGTTAAGAAAATGATGCAGGTTTCAGCCCTGGCTGGTGTTGCAAAATTTTCCTGTGAGGCCATCCAGTCTAGGAGGTTTGTTTGCTGGGAGTTTTTCTTTTTTATTACTGTTTCAATTTCATTAGTTGTATTCAGCCTATTCAATTTTTAATTCCTCCTTATTCAGTTTTGGAAGATTATTGATAGGTACATATTTACTGCTATCTTATTATTTAAACTATGTTCCGCTCCTCCTCCTATTTCTTCTTCTTCAAGCGGGCCCCTTAACATTTCTTGTAATATTGGTTTGGTAGTAACCAACTCCCTTAGCTTTTTCTTATTTGGAAAGCTCTTTATTTCTCCTTCAATTTTTTTTTTTAGATTTTATTTATTTATCTTTAGAGGGGAAGGGAAGGAGAGAGGAAGAGAAATATCAATGTATGGTTGCCTCTCATGTGTCCCCTGCTAGGAACTGACCTGCAACCCAGGCATGTGCCCTGACTGGGAATCGAACTGCGATACTCTGGTTCACAGGCCCGCACTCAATCTACTGAGCTACACCAGCTAGGGCTCTCCTTCAATTTTAAATGATAGCCTTGATCAATAAAAAGTAGTCTTCATTGTCAGTCCTTGCTTGCTTTTTATCACTTTGAATATTTCATGCCAGTCTCTTTTGTCCTGAAATGTTTTCTTGAGAAACCAGCTGACAGTCTTATGGGAGCTCCACTGTAGGTAACTGTCTTTCCCTTGCTGCATTTAGGATTCTGTTTTGTCTTTAACCTTCTCCATTTTAATTATGATGTGTCTTGGTTTGGGCCTCTTTGGTTTCATCTTGTTTGCGACTCTCTTTTTCTTCACTAGGCTAGGAAAAGTTTTTGGTCATTATTTCTTCAAATAGTTTCTTGATCCTTTGTTCTCTTTCGGGTACCCCTATAATGTGGATGTTATGCTTGATCCTGTCCCACAGGTCCCTTAAACTGTCCTAATTTTTTAAATCCTTTTTTCTTTTTTCTGCTGATTGGGTGTTTTTCTACCTTGTCTTCCAAATCACTATTTCAACCCTTTGCTTCATTCAACCTACTGTTTATTCCTTCCAGTGCATTCTTCGTTTTAGATATTGTATTCTTAATTTCTGACTGGCCCTTTTATGGGTTCCATGTACTTTTTCATGTTGTTGTGCATTCTTATAACCATCACTTTGAATTCAATATCTGATAAATTGCTAGCCTCTATTTCATTTAGCTTTTTCTGGAGATTTCTCCTATTCTTTCATTTTTGGGCCTGTTTATTTTTTCTCCCCAATTGGCTCCTTGTTTGTGTTTGTTTCTGTGTCTTATGTACATCTGCTATGACTCTCAGTCTCCCTGGCGTGGCCTCATGTATTATGTACTAGGGGTCCTGTGGGGTCCAGTGGTACAGTCTCCTGACCACTTGAGCTGGGTGCTCCAGGAATGCCCCTTGTGTGGGTAACGTTGGCCTTCCTGTTGTAAATGAGTATTGATTGCTATTGGCCCATTTGTGTATGGGATCAATCTACAGGCTGGTTGACTGTGAGGCTCACCCCGGACCATGGCATGCGAGCTGCTGTGCTATTGCTGACCACACTAAGCAGGGTTTGCTTCAGCAGGGTTTGGCACCTGCCAAGATCTCCCTTTGGATATGCTGCCTATGAAGCTTATTAAATCCTGCTCTGATGTTGTTTGAAGCTGGCCACTTGGTGTGTTGTTTCTGGGTCTCTTGTGAGGTACCCTGGTGCCGCCTGTGACTGTCCCTCAGCAACCTGTTTGGACAAGTTTCAATGTGGCTTCTTCTGTAAATCCGTGGTTATAAAACTTCTCTTTAGCTAGCCTTCAGTTGGTTATTCAGGATGATTGTTCTATACTTTAGTTGTAATTTCAGTTTGGTCCTGGGAGGAGGGGAGTGTAGCATCCACCTACTCTGTCATCATTTTGCATATCAAGACCCTACAGGTGGGTCTGCTAACTTCTCCCAGGCCCAGGCTTCCCACCTTTAAAATGGGAACTACCTTTCTTCAGAGGGTTACCCAGCTGACTTGTCCACCTCAAGAGAGCCCTTCCCTCATAAGTGGCTCTAAGAGTCAGAGAAGATCCATGAACAAAAATGTTCAGACCTATCAGAAGTTAGAGTATCGTAAATGGAACTGGTGATTTATGGGAGGGCTGACTTTGTCATGGAGCCTACCTACATGGAACCATGTGAAGATCTCTCTCTTTAGATAGCCCAGAGGGTGGCCAGATGGTGGATACCAGGTGATCCAGGTAGGGGTGGCAAAGCCTACGGTGACAGTGTCTGAGGAGACTGAGGTGACTGAGGCCCGCAAGTAAATATTATACTTAAAAAGCAGGAGGGAAAGAGAAGGGGATAACATCTATTACATATCTACTCTATATAGCAAGTACAGAGTGAAATGCACAAATGGATTTAAACCTCAAAACAACCCCTGAGGGGAGCTTATACTATCACTGCTTTTACAGATGAGGAAGTTGTAATCAGGGGCTTGTCCAAACAAACCCAGATCCAAACTCATAGCCCATGATCTATCCAGTATGAAGTTCTTGGGGGAAAAAATCTAAAATGGTTTTAGATAGAAATACTATCATAACTACCTGTCTGAGAAAGCTTGAGCAGCGAAATATAAACCTCCTGGCAAACTGTGTCAGAGTCTAAAATAAAGTGGGCCACCAGGAAGTTCTTGCAGCGCACAATTAGGGGACAGCCCTCGCTAGTTAAAGGTAACTTCTCCACAGTGGCAATGTGATGCACTGCAATCTGCAAAACAGAAAAGAACCAAAACAAATTCACAGTCATGCTTAAGTTCTGTCATTATCAGTGGCCTTGACTCTCAGTAATGGCAACAGAATAACCAGAGTTGTGATCACATATATAGCTATCAACCATCCTTTGTAAGACACAACTGGGTTTCTCTCAAACAGAAGTAAATAGTGCTAAAGCAATGAGAAGAAAATTGCAGTGTTATACAACTTCTCCCTCATTCAGGATCTAAGGTTACCAAGGTTGGGGCAATTGTGGTAAACTGGCTCAGTACAGATGGCTTCTGGCACGCTATGGTGAAATTTACAATCATGGTAGAATAATTGTCACAGAGAAAAATAGGACTTTCTTTTGTTCTACTAATTACTAATTAAAATTAATAACTGGTATTGTGCTTTATTTCTCATGAGGTTATCCATGACCATTAACTATTTAATCTCTGTAATAACCCTTTGAGGTATAATTATCTCATTTCAGGAATGAAGAAACCAAAGCTCTGAGAAGTGAATTCCTCATCAGAGGTCACACAACCAAGAAGTGCACAAACAGGACTTGAATCATGGCAGTCTAATTCCAAGTCCAGGGTTCTTTCTCTAAGAATTCTAAAAACTCTAGTCCTGGAATTAGGATTTAACTAGAAATAGTGGGGAGAAAATTTCTCTCCCATATTTTACACTCTAGTGACAGTAAAGCAAAGATGAAATGGGGGAAAAGCTGACCTGTGTAACTTAGGAAATGAGTAGAGACTATAAGACTAATTGCTGAAGGAACTATACATAAGCACTATACTATAGTTAGTAAAGTTGTGTCCCCTGGGAGTACAGGTTAAGGAATCTGATTTTTTAAAAAGATTTTATTTATTTATCTTTAGAGGGGAAGGAAAGGAGAGGGAGAGAGAAACATCAATGTATGGTTGCCTCTCGTGAGTCCCCTGCCGGGAACTGACCTGCAACCCAGGCATGTGCCCTGACTGGGAATTGAATCACGATCCTTTGGTTTGCAGGCCTGCGCTCAATCCACTGAGCTACACCATCCAGGGCAGGAATCTGATTTTTTACAGGATGATTAAATCTTTAGTTGCATCATTCCATGCCATGCTGATGCCAGCAAAAAGAAATGCATGAAAAGTAAACTGGTAAAAAGGAATTGCATCCAAATAATAGAATAGAATAATAGAATTTTTTTCTTTATAGATCCAAAAAACTGTGGAATCATAGTTTTACATTTTAGCCTTTAATGTTCTCCTCCAATCTGTGTCTGTAATATTTCCTGCAACTAGAACTTGGATGTAATCTTTTCATTCTTTGGATCCCCTGCCCTGTGCCTGGAATGGCCTTTTGATCATCACTGTCTTTTCTTTTCCTCCATTCTTCACATGCCATGCCCCAGCCCTGATTCATTTGGAAAAGCTGTCTCTTCCTGGAACTCTTTCAATTGCACCCACCATCTAAGAATGGGGCAGGTATGGGGATCACTCACATATTCCTAGCAGGGATTTTTCCATCTTAATTTCTGTCTTAATTGCTTTGTCAAACTCAGTTCCTGCCATGGCAGTTGTAAAAGGGTAAAAAAAAAACAACTACTGACAATGTAATAGGGATTAATACATCGAATTTCAGGAAAATCAAAGCCCTGTTGATCAACACATGAGATGTATGTTTGGGTAGTAAAATACTGATCATCAAGCTTGGGTAGCAGGCAAAAAAGTGGTGAATTAGGAAGAGGAGGAAAGTGGAGCTGATGAAGGCTGAGGAGAACTTCAGTAATAATACTAATTGGGTAAATAAGCCTCCTTTGATATATAGAAATGATTAATATAAGTTTTGCCATCCAGATCTAGCCCCCTGGGTTTCAAATAACACCCAATAGGAACATATCTAGGGAAATGTGTGCTGTCTATAAATGCAGGTAGAAAGGGAAAGGCTCATGGCACAGTACTAAAGACATATTTCCTGAACTGTTAGAAATGGAAGAATCCCTGCTAATTACACAATCTAACCACCTCATTTTAGAGATGAGAAAATTGAAGCCCAGAGAGCAAGAGTCATTTCCCTGAGGCCATATAGCCAGTTAGTGCATAGCTGAGTCTAGCTAGAACCAGGTCTCCTGATTCCTCTTTTGGCATTCCTTTCATCACATCAAAGGGAGCAAGTACAATATCAGATGGGGAAAGTTCGTGTTGTTTTAAAAAGGAGATATTAAAATACAGTTGAGTCTTGAACAATGGATTTGAACTAGGTAGGGTCCTCTTATGTGTGGATTTTTTAAAAGATTTTATTTATTTATCTTTAGAGGGGAAGGGAAGGAGAGAAATATCAATGTATGATTGCCTCTCATGAGTCCCCTGCTGGGAACTGGCCTGCAACCCAGGCATGTGCCCTGACTGGGAATCAAACTGTGATACTCTGGTTCGCAGGCCTGCGCTCAATCCACTGAGCTAAGCCAGCCAGGGCTAATTTTTTTTTTAAATAAACAAACAGTTGGCACTGTGTTTCCACAGGTTTCGCATCCACAGATTCAACCACAACAGTATTTTCAATCCATTGTTGGAAATCCATGAGTGTAGACAGCAAACCGTATGCTTAAGTCCTTCGCATAAAGTCCAATGCATAAAATGGCATGCTTTGATAGATTTTGGTATCTGTAGAGGATTCTGAAACTGATCATCCTCTAATATGAAGGGATGACTGTAGTTAAGTTTTGGGCGAGTCAAAAGGTGAATGAGTATTTTTAATTGCATAAGGGTTGGTACCCCCTAACCCTGTTCAAGCATCAACTGTACTTATTTCATATGTATATTCAGTTTAATTTATTTTATACTTATTCAATAGTATTTATCATGAGCCAGACACTATTTTAAGTGATTAAAACATTAACATTTTTATTCTCATAACAAGGTTATTATCAGTATGCTTATTTTACAGATGAGGGAAGTGAGACACAGAGAACTTAAATAAATCAGCCCAAGATTATAAAGGTAGTAAATGTTAATTCTGGGATTTCACACTGAACAGACTGCCTCTGTAGCCTGTGATCTTAATCACTATGCTATGCTGTACATCTGAAGCATGTTGTACTTCTTATAAAGACTTCTAAGCATCAATGTGGCTAATGATTAAGTTAAGATTAAATGATGCTACTTTAGGATGGGGAAGGTGTAAAGCCATGTACTAAGCTATGGGTACTAAGCTAATTAGAAAACATTGTTGAAAAGTGTAATGGGAAACATACACATAACATACACCCTGTCTTAGGTCAGAGAGATGGTCTAAATCATTGATGCCCAAGGTACAGTCCATGGGCCACCAGCATCACCTGAGAGCTTTCTAGAATTTCAAAATCTTAGGCCTGAGATTCTGTATTTTTTAAGCTCCTAGGTGAAACAGATACTGCTAGTTATGGGACCACATTTTATGGGTAGTAGGGCTTTAAATTACTTCTAGTTCATAAGGATGCTTATTGACGAGACTCAGAAAAGAAGCAGAGGCTTCTCTACCTAAAAGTATCAAGGAAAATTCCCAAGTGGTTGAAAATGACTAAGATGACTATAGTTAATAACTTGAGGGGTAAAAGGTCATATAATTCAAGCTATGTAAAGACCCCTAGAATAGGTCCCTTGAAGAAAAGGTTTTACAGCAATTTATTACTTGAAATTTTAAGAAACTACTATATTAGAAAGTGTATACACCCAACTCTTCAAGACCCTTTGAAACCTCATGAACTTACCCATGTTTCTTGCTGTGCTGCACCAGAAGCCTCCGCATAGATCAGGTGAGTTGCAGTAAGATACAGAATCCCATTAGATAACGTCTTACCCGAAAAATGATCCAGTAATGTCACGTTTTCTACCTGTTATTTGGGGGCGGGGAGGAAACTGATTAATTACGTGTGTTGAGTTGATGGCTTAAAGTGAGATAATTCAAAGCCAGATAAATGCTGTTAATTTGCTACAGAACTTCTTTGAGGCCTTCTAGTTCCTGCCAAGGTGTTAAACTGATATGACCTGTTTCTTTTTCCTAAATCAGCCCTGTAGAAACTATAAAAGTGAGAAGGAAACACGGCTTCTAGGAAGGATTAACCTTCTATATGATGTTACCATGCTGGGGTAGGTGTGGGTGGAAGATAAATAAGACATAGAGCCTGTTGAGATAATTATCTCATTGGAGGGAAGTTTCAGTTACTGTATGTGTTTATCGATAGGGGTAAATAACATCAGTTTAGATCTTAAGCTAAAGGCCAAGAAAATATAATATATAACTTTGTATAAAGCAGGAGAAAACTCGATCTATCCAATGGAAAGCGGGAAAGGAAAACAAAAACAAAAAAGAGTGCCATAAATGAACAGTATAAAATGAAATGCCAGAAATAAGTCCCAATGTAAGAGTGATTACAACAAATGTACATGAATTAACTTATCAATTAAAAGACAGACTTACAAGCCCTGGCTGGTGTAGCTCAGTGGATTGAGCACATGCCTGCGAACCAGAGGATCGCAGTTCAATTCCCAGTCAGGGCATATGTCTGGGTTGCAGGCCGATTCCCTGCAGGCCAGTTCCCAGCAGGGGAAGCATGAAAGGCAACCATACATTGATGTTTCTCTCCCTCTCTCCTTCCCCTCTAAAAGATAAATAAATAAATCTTAAAAAAAAAAGACAGACTTACAGACTGGATTAAAACAAAATACTCAACAATATTCAGTCTAAAAGAAATACATTTAAAGAGGTGCACACCTTGGCCAGTGTAGCTCAGTGGATTGAGCACTGGCCTGTGAACCAAAGGGTAGCTGGCTCACTTCCCACTCAGGGCACATGCCTGGGTTGCAGGCCAGGTGTCTCTAGTAGGAGGCATGCAAGGGGCAACCACAAATTGATGTTTCCCCTTCTCTTTCTCCCTCCCCCTCTGTCTAAAAATAAATAAAATCTTTTTAAAAATCACTTTAAATGCCAATGGTCTAAATACACCAAAAAACAAAAAAGATTGTCAGTGTGTATCAAGAAAAAAAAAAAAAGACGCAATCTGACATTGTCTATAAGAATCCACTGTAGCCCTGGCTGGTGTAGCTCAGTGGATTGAGCATGGGCCTGTGAGGCAAAGGGTTGCTGGTTCAATTCCCAGTCGGGGCACATGCCTGGGTTGCAGGCCAAGTCCCCAGTAGGGGACATGTGAGAGGCAACCATACATTGATGTTTCTCTCCCACTCTTTCTCCTTCCCTTCCCCTCTTTCTAAATAAATAAATAAATAAATAAAATATTTTTTAAAAAAAGAACCCACTGTATTCTTGTATATGGTATAAATTGGTGGTCTAGCTTCATTTTTTTCATGTACCTGTTCAATGCCCCCCACAGCATTTATTGAAGAGACTGTTTTTACTCCACTGCATGCTCTTCCCTCCTTTGTCAAATATTTACCATAAAGGTGTGGGTTTATTTCTGGGCTCTCTGTTCTGTTCCACTGATTTATATTCCTGTTCTCATGCCAGTTCCAGGCTGTTTTTATTACACCATATACAAAAATGAATTCAAAATTGACAAAAGACTTAAATGTAAGCTGTGAAACCATAAAAATCCTAGAAGAAAACATAAGCAGTAAAATCTTAGACATCTCTTCAAGCAATATTTTTGCCAATATATTTCCTAGGGCAGGGGAAACAAGAGAAAAAATAAACAAATGGGACTATATCAAATTAAAAAGCTACTGCACAGCAAAAGAAACCATCAACAACAGAATGAAAAGGAACTCACTGTATGGAGAATATATTTGCTAATGATGCATCTGATAAAGGGTTAATAGTCAAAATTTATAAAGAACTTAAATAACTCAACACTAGGAAGACAAATAATCCAATTAAAATATGTGCAAAGGACATGAAAAGACATTTCTCCAAAGAGGACATAGAGATGGTCTACAGACATATGAAAATTTGCTCAGCATCACCAGCCATCAGAGAAATGCAAATTTTAAAATCACAATGAGATACCACTTCACACTAGTCAGAATGGCCATCATAAACAAATCAACAAACGAGTGCTCGTGAGGTTGTGGAAAAAAGGGAACTCTAGTACACTGTTGGTGGGAGTGCAGATTAGTGAAGTCTCTATGGAAAACAGTATGCAGATGCCCCCAAATTAAAAAATGGAACTGACTTTTGACCCAAATATCCCACTTCTGGCAATATATCCTAAGAATCCTGAAACACCAGCTTAAAAGAACCTATGCACCCCCATGTTCATAGCAGTGTTATTTACAATAGGCAAGATTTGGAAGCAGCCTGTCCTTCAGTAGATGCATGAATAAAAAATCTGCAGTACATTTACACAATGGAATACTGTGCAGCTGTAAAAAAAATCTTACCCTTTGCAACAGCATGGAGATTAGTATGCTAAGTGAAAAAAACCAGTCTGTGAAAGACAATTACCATATGATCTCACTTATTTGTGGAATCTAATAAACAAAAACTGAAAAACAAAACAGAAACAGGCTCAGATACATGGTACAGATTGACACCTGTTCTAGAGGGGTGGGGGGAAAGGTAGACTGGATGAAAGAAAGTGAAAGGATTAGCCAAAGAACAGATACACATAACCTACCCATAGACACAGATAACAGTGTGGCGATGACTGAGAGGGGGAGAAGGCGAAGGGTGGGGGAGGCAGGCAAAGCAGGGGATAAGGGAACATCTGTAATAGTGTAAATATAAAAATAAACTTGAAAAACCTGCTTTAAACTTCAAGACACATATGCATTAAAAGTAAAGGGATGGAGCCCTGGGCGCCCTGGCTCAGTGGATTAAGCACCAGCCTGTGAACTCAAAGGTTGCCAGATCAATTTCCAGTCAGGGCATATGCCTGTGTTGTGAGTCAGGTCCCAACTTGGGGGTGTGCGAGAGGCAACCGGTCAATGTTTCTCTCACACATCAATATTTTCCTCCCTCTCCTTCTCCCTCCCTTCCCCTCTCTCTGAAAATAAATAAATGAAATCTTCTAAAAAACAGTAAAGGGATGGAGACAGATATGCCATGCTAACACTAAAAGTTGAAGTAGCTATATTAAGTAAGATTATCAGGGATAAAGAGAGGCATTACATAAAATTCTCCAAGATGATACAACAAACTTTAATGAGGTAAAATGGACAGAAGTGCAAAGAGAAATAAATGAATCACCTGTTATAGCTGGAGGCTTTAACACCCATCTATTGACAGATCCAGCAGGCAGGAAATCGTTAAGCACATAGTTGAACTGAACAGCACCATCAATCAACTGCATCTAATTGATGTCTATGGAATACTTCATCCTATAACAGCCTGAATACATTTTTCTCAAGTTCTAATATGGAACATTCACCAAGACACATCATATTTTGTGCCATATAATACATCTTAACATATTTAAAAGAACAGAAATCATACAAAGTATGCTCTCAGAACACAATAGACAAACTAGAAATCAACTACAGAAAGATAGCTGGAAAATCTCAAAATACATGGAAACTAAACAATACACGGGTCAAAGAAAAACTTTTTAAAGAAATTTTAGGCCTGGCTGATGTGGCTCAGTGGATTGAGCACTGGCCTGTGAACCAAAGGGTCACTGGTTTGATTCCAAATCAGGGCACATGCTTGGGTTGCAGGCTGGATCCCCAGTGCAGGGCACACAAGAGGCAACCACACAATGTTTCTCTCCCTCTCTCTGTCCTCTCTCTCTAAAAAATAAGTAAATAAAGTCTTTCAAAAATGAAAATTTAAAAATATTGTGAAATAAGTGAAAATAATTTTTTTTGTGAAAACAATGCTTAGAGGGAAATTTACAACATTAAATACATAAAAATATCTAAAAATCAATAATCTAAGCTTCCATGTTAGGAAGCTAGAAAAAAGAAGAGCAAATTAAATTCAAAGTAAGAAGAAGAAAAGAACGAATAAAAATTAGGGCACAGATCAATCTAATAAATAGGAAAACAACAGAGAAAAATTAATGAAACCAAAAGCTAGTTAATTCAGTGAAGGATCAGTAAAATTGTTAAATATCTAGCCAGGTCAACTAACAACACAAAAAAAAAAGAGAAAGAAAACACAAATTACTAATATCAGAAATGAAAGAGGAGCCATCACCATCAGACATTAAAAGGATAATAAATAAATATTATAAATCATTGTACACCTACAAATTTGATAACCTGGAGAAAATGGACCAATACCTCTACCAAAGCTCACACAGGACAAATAGATAATCTGAATAGGCTTATATCTATTAAAGAAATTGGGACTTCCAGCCAAGATGGAGGTGAAAGTGGAAACATTGTGCCTCCTCGCACAACCAAGTTTTAGTAACAAAAACGCAGCCAAAACACAGAAAATTGAACTGTACGGAAGTCCAACAACAATGAACCATTCAGCCAGACCGATAGAGGGGCGTAGTTAGTGGCTGGTGGATCGGGGTTGGGCAGGAAAGATCGGCCTGACCAACCCAGGAGCACAGGTGGTGGTTGGCAGATCTCAGGTGTGGGGTGGCAACGGGCTGATCCAATGAAGGCACAAGGAGGCTGGCTGACCCCGGTCACACATTCGTGCACAGATAAACCAAATGAAGGAGCCAGCAGTGAGACAGACCACTCAGGTTAGGGCCCCAACGACAGGAATTAGAGCCTGAAAACACCAATTGGAAAGACTTTCAGGGTTGAGGTTCCGGGAGAGGCTCCCAGGCTCACACAAAGTTTGTTGGAGAGACCCACAGGGTCCTGGAGGGTGCACAAGCCCACACACCTGGGAACCAGCACCAGAAGGGCCCAATTTGTTGGTGGGAAGCAGCAGAGGGGACCAAAATCCGAGAGAGAGCAGAACGAACGCCACTGC